TGCTGGAAAAGGTGTTGGAGGAAGGGAATGGGGGATTGGGCTGGAACCCTCCCTGGGGCTGTGGAGGGAGGCTGGAGCCCATAGGGGGAATGAGGAGGAAGGGGCCTCTGGAGGGGCCTTGTCCAGCCCCCTGCTCCGAGCAGGGACAGTTGCAGCGTCAGGTCTGGTCACGCAGGACACTGTGGCCGTGCAGCCCCAGTCCCACGAGTGGACAGAGAGACCCAGCAGCAGCAGGATGGGGCATCTCATATCTGGAGGGATCCTGGTGCCAGCTTCACCCTGGCATGTCCTTTGGTAAAAGTCTCTGGGAGACACGTGCTGACAGCACATCCCTCGTGCTCCCACAGATATCAAAGAGCACGTGAAGCAGCTGGAGAAGGCCGTGTCAGGGAAGGAGCCACGCTATGTCCTGCGTGCTTTGCGGGCTCTGCCCTCCACCTCCCGCCGACTCAACTCCAACGTGCTTCACAAAGCCATCAATGGCTTCTTCACCTCCAACAGCACCATGCGGGACTTCCTCCTCAGCTTCCTGGAGGAGGTATGGCAGCAGGGGATGGGGAGAGGCAGCCGGCTGTGGAGGGGCCACCTTTCCCGCACCGAGGAGCCTCCGGAGTGCCGCTGTGCGGGGCAGGAGGGCATAGGGAACAGCAAGGGCTTGGGGATGCTTGAGACACAGCCTGGCAGGGATGGGACTGCAGTGCCAGCAGCTCTGGCACTCGTGTCACACCTCAAGGGCATCTGTCACCAGGGACAGGCTGGGGACGGGCCTCGCTGCAGGCAGAGGCATGAGGAGTGCTGAGCGGGCGGCAGCGATGCTGGTGGGCTGGGAGGGACTGGGGTCCAGCACATTTCTCTTCCCACAGTCCATGGACACGGAAGCAGAGCTGCAGTTTCGCCCACGGACGGGGAAGGCGGCCTCAGCACCTCTCCTGCCAGAAGTGGAGACCTACCTCCAGCTGCTTCTCGTCATCTACCTGATGAATAGCAAGCGATACCCAGAGGTGAGGTTCTCTGAGCTGTCTGCTCTAAAGCTGAGCTTTTTGTGTGGTGCTCCTGTGCCCGGCAGGGTCTGGAGAGCCTCAGGGACCTGCCTGTCTGCGGCCCCACACTTTCCCCTCTGTTTCAGCTGTGTTTGGAGACAGCCCCTGAGCTCGGTCCTGCAGCCCTGGCAGTCTCTCTGCTCTGACCTCTGTTCCTCTCTTGCAGGCTCAGAAAGTGTCTGATGACCTAATGCAGAAGATCAGTTCCCAAAACCGCCGAGCCCTTGACCTGGTGGTGGCAAAATGTTATTATTACCACTCCCGCATCTATGAATTCCTGAATAAACTCGATGTGGTCAGGAGGTAGGATGTGTCCTGCGTGCGAGCTCTCCCTGAGCTTGGTCTCTTTCTTTTCTCCTCCCTGACATGCTCTCTCCCTCTCCTGCAGCTTCCTGCATGCCCGGCTACGGACAGCCACACTGCGCCATGATGCAGACGGGCAGGCCACCCTCCTCAACCTGCTGCTGAGGAACTATCTCCACTACAACCTCTATGACCAGGCAGAAAAGCTTGTCTCCAAGTCTGTGTTTCCCGAGCAAGCCAACAACAATGAGTGGGCTCGGTACCTTTATTACACAGGTGAGGCGCAGAGGGTCCCATGGTGCTGGCAGCTGGGACTGTGCCCGAGGTCGAGGGCTCTGGTTGCTCAGAGAACCCATTTGAGCAGCTGGAGATGGGGCTTCCAGGCAGGATTTGGAGCACCATCCGGGTGGGTCTGGTTGGATTCACTCGGTGGCTTTTCCAAACACCTTCTGCTCTGTGTGAACGCAGGGCGCATTAAGGCCATCCAGCTGGAGTACTCGGAGGCGCGGAGGACCATGACGAACGCCCTGCGGAAGGCACCGCAGCACACGGCCGTCGGCTTCAAGCAGACGGTGAGCGGGGATGGGAAGCTGGTGGGGTTTGGCACCTGCCAGCTCCCCAGGGAAGCCGCCTCGGGCTTGGGCCCCACGGGGACTCATGGTTTCTCTCTGCTCAAGGTGCACAAGCTGCTCATTGTGGTGGAACTGCTGCTCGGGGAGATCCCGGACAGGCTCCAGTTCAGACAACCCTCCCTCAAGCGGTCGCTCATGCCCTACTTCCTCCTGACTCAGGGTACGACAGGCCACTCTTGCTCGCGCTCCGTCCCTCTCTGGTGCCTTGGCACGATGTCCTGCACTTTGCGGGAGTGGGAAGCCCTGGGTCGGGGAGCAGGGGGGGTTTCACTCCTCTCTCCTCGATGGGACCCAGCTGCAGACTCCACTTGGGGAGGAGGA